TTGTGCTCTGGGGCTCAGGGGCCCCTCCCAGAGATAACAGTTCAGTCTAGCAGATGGCTCAATTCTAGGTCCAACAACTCAGTATTTCTGGGGCCCTGAGGTGTCTCAGACCACCAGAATCAGCTTGGGGGCTCCCAAGGCGACAGCCTGGGGTCAAGGTGCACTTTTTATATGTTAGTCACTCTCTAGCACAAAACCCAGTAATGAGCACAGCTTGTTGGAATTTAAGAAGTTTATAGAAGGGGTTGGAGTGAGAGCACAGCGGGTAGGGCATTTGCCATGCACGCAACTGACCCGGTTCAATTACCAGCATTCCATATGGTCCCATGAGCATCGCCAGGAGTAATTCCTGAAGGCAGAGCCAGGAGTAACCCCTGTGCATCACCGGGTGTGATCCAAAAAGACAAAAAAAAAAAAGAAAGTTTTTAGAAGCTTTTGCTCAAGATCGGGCTGGAGCGATAGCACTGTGGTAGGGCGTTTGCCTTGTATACAGTCAGCCTGGCCAAGCAGGGTTCGATTCCTCTGCCCCTCTCAGAGAGCCTGGCAAGCTACCGAGAGTATCTCGCCCGCACAGCAAAGCCTGGCACGCTACCCGTGATGTATTCAATATGCCAAAAACAAACACTGTAACAAAAAGTCTCAAAAAAAAAATGGAGACATTACTGGGCCCGCTCGAGCAAAATCGATGAACAGGAGAACAGTGTTTATTTGTTTGTGTTTGCTCAAGAAGGATAGAAAAAGATAAGAAGGAAAACCCTTACAACATGTGTAACTTATATTCTATCCCCCTGTACCAGAGGGGAATAGAACTCTCACTTCAGTGGTTCATTTAAGTTCTTTTTGTTTTATTGCCTATTAAATGTTCCTGGTATCATATATGATGAAAAGGGGATATGCTTTGAGGAAATAAGAGATACATGAGTGGCAGAAATATAAATTTCCCAGTAAAAAGAGGAATAAGTGGTAATCTTTGCAAAGTTTTCTTCTTTCTTACTAAAGTAATATAAGGCATATTTCATATTTTAAAAATATTTTCACATCGTTCAATAAAAAATTTGTTCAATGTATTATAAAAAGATAATAATAGCATCTTTACTCTCAAGGATGGCTAATAAAGTAGTAAAGAGAGCTTCAGTTGGGCTAAATATAAAAATTGTATTCTAGTTCTGTGTATATTTTGATAATTACTTTAAAAACAGCAGATTTGTATAGGTAATTAAATACACACTGCAATCTCAAGAAGAGGACTTTCTAATGGTCTGTATCTTGAAGAAATTTATGTATTTCTTGTCTTTTTATAGCTCGAGCGGGCCCAGTAACGTCTCCATTGGAGACTTTGTTGTTACTGTGTCTGGCATATCGAATACTCTCGGTAGCTTGCCGGGCTCTCCGAGAGGGGCGGAGGAATCGAACTCGGGTCTGCCATGTTGGCCGCTTGTAAGGCGAACGCCCTACCCGCTGTGCTTTTTATAGCATGGTTGAGAAAAACAAGTGAGTAATGTGTGCTTTCAAATAATTTTGTTACAAAATACTTTAATAAAGGCTTTAAAAGAATGTTACTGTATGTGTGTACAATACATATGATTTTTGAAATATAGAAGATTAAGGATCTTGTCTTTATCTTTTAAGTGTAGAGACCATTTTTTCCTGACCACACATATATTATCACTACAATGCTTTTGAATCTTTTGAATTGAACTGATGTCTCTTTAAGTAACAGAATGCAAGTTTGACATTGTTATTTTATTATCTTCAAATAAGCAACCTGAAGGTGTGTTATACTCTTTAGTCTCAACACTAATTTGTTCAAGTTGTACACTTGAATGGGCAATTTAAGTTGTACACTTGAATAGGCAATACTTGGGAAACATGAAATTAGCTAGAATAAGGTATATTCCTTAATTTCTGCCTTAATTTTACCTTCAAAGCATTATTAAATATTTCCATTTCATTTGGAAAGATACTTGTGCCTTTTACATGTTTTGCTGCTTGGTTGATCTTAGGTCTTCTGTACAGATAGTTTTGGTTGATATTAAAAAGCATAGGTATGAAACATAAAAGATAACTTGACAAAAATAAAAATAACAAGTGCAGTGCAGGTGGATCTTAAGCACTCTGACGATGGAGGAAGTACAGTCATTTTTAGACTGAAACCATAAGAATTAGCATTATTGTAACAATGTTGCCTTAACTACAGACAAAAAAAGACAACAAAAAAATGTTTGGTCAACTTTATGGGCACACTGAGCAGGATGTTGCCCGAAATAGGTTGAACCTAATGCCAGGGCCTCTCACGGCAGATTCCTGTCCCTTTTTCCTCTTCAGTGTGAACTCTCAGTCCAAAGTGCTGGATCCTCAGTTTCTTCCAGAAGCCAGAGCACTTCAACCACTAGGGAAACCTGCGAGTGCTTTAAGCTCCAGGAGAAAGCGCCCAGGAGAGTCCCTGGAGAGATGGGACATCTAGAGAGAATAAGCTCCCACCTGACATTAGGAAGAGCAACGTTTCCTTCCTGCTCTCAGTAAATGTGATGAAAGTTTCTTCAGCTACTTCTCTTCCCACTTCGGGGAGCTTCTTCACGCTCAGACAGGAACAAGTACCGTTCTACTGTCACTCCTGGCAGTTTGCTTCACTGTTCGGTCCTGAAAAATTAATACAAAATAAAGAAAGTAAAGAGACAGAAAGTCATGGCTGTCAGAAAATATTGGAATTTGAGCTAACAAAGATTTTACAAATCATTCTAATTATACAGATGAAGGAAAGTCAATTGTGAAGGTTATTAAGGCAAGTAGGTGATAAAACACGGATGTAAACCTAGGACTTCTGACCCAACCACGATTTTCAGGAGTATAAACAGAGGCTGGAGATGTGGGAAAGCAGCTGGAGTGTTGTCTCTCCCTGACACTTTCCATCATAGACGCATAGAGATCAAATGGAGATTCGGCCACTGGAGTGACAGTTCTCATACAGGTGGCTCCGTCCTACAGTGCGTGTAAGTTGATTGTCACAAAGTTTAAGCTACAAATTGGCAACAACTCTAATAATCTTTCCTCAAAACCTCTTAGCTAGAAATAAAATTAGAACAGCATATGGAACCGGGAGCTCCAGGACCATAGATGATATTTTTTATCCAAGCCTACTAAGGTATGAAAAAGGTAGGAAAAAATTCATTTACTGAGTTCAAACAACACTAGTAAACTCCTTAGGGTCTGCATTCTGTTCGATGTCCCATGGAACAACTTTCCCCCAGGAAGAATAGCCAGAAGTCATTGACAATGTCAACTAGGAACAGGAATTTGCATGGGGTGATCAGTTCTCTGCCTCTGCCGGGTGTGAGCAGCACAATACTTTGGAGGGTCCCTGTTCAGCAGTGGGAGCTGGTTGGGTGAACCAAATGTCTTAATACAACTCAGAGTTGGAGGGGGCTCCCTCACTCAGCATCACTCAGTCTCCCCTGGTGTGCACATCTCCTTGGGGTCGCAGACAATGGCTGAGCATCTCTCCCCTCCAAATCTCAGTCTCCAAGCTCTATCTCAGGGGCAGAGATCTGAACCCCCTCTCACAACAACTCTGCCTCCATCTGAAATTTTCTAACACTGGAGGAGAGGCTCCTGAATGCTTCACCAATAAGTCTTTGTTCATTTCCTACCTCCTGTCAATATGGTTCTAATAACAAACAAGATATATATGATTGGTCATTTATGTTCATACAGTGTTATAGGTATTTTTAATATTAGCATGAAATAGACGGTATAACATCATTTGGAGGGCAAAGCAGCAGGGAGGGTGTTTGCTCTGCATGGAACTGATCCGAGTTCAATCCCCAGCACCCCACATGGCCCCCCAAGCCCACCAGGAGTGATCCCTGAGTACAGGGCCAGGAAAAAGGCTGAGCACCATTGGGTGCGGCCCCCCAAAACTACAAAACCAAGAAAGAAAGAAGAAAGAACGAAAGAAAGAAAGAAAGAAAGAAAGAAAGAAAGAAAGAAGGGAAAGAAGGAATAAGGAAAGGAAGGAAGGAAGGAAGGAAGGAAGGGAGGGAGGGAGGGAGGGAGGGAGGGAGGAAGGAAGGAAGGAAGGAAGGAAGGAAGGAAGGAAGGAAGGAAGGAAGGAAGAAGAAAATCAATATCATCTGAAATTAGAGAAAATAAGCTGCAAACTGAAACTGAGATCCTAGACTGGGCTTGCTGTTCCCGCAGAGATGATAGAACTCTAGCTAAGAGGAACCAGTTTACCACCTCTGATGATTCTCCTTAAAATTTTTTTTCTATTCATTAAAGAACAATGATTTATAAAGTTACTGTAGTTAATATTTTATCACCAATCTCTTCACCAATGTCAGCTTCAGTTCTCCTTCTTTGGAAACAAGGCATTTCTTTCCTTCGGAACAAAAACCACTGAAGATATATTTACTTATAATCTTAAATTTTACACTGAGATTCAAAAATAGGCCCATAGTCATCTGGCTAAAGGAGAAACATCAGAGATGGTGAATATTAGTACAGCTGATAGGGTGTTTACCTGACATGCAGCTGGCCAAGGTTCAACCCTCAGCACCGCATATGGTCCCCCGAGTCCTACTAGGAGTAAACCCTGAGCATGGCCAGGTGTGGCACCAAAATAAACAAACAAAATAGAATGTTTCACACAAAGCTGCAGAGCAGCCCATAGTGTTCTTTCTAAAGAAGCAGTGAGGGAAAGAGGAAAAGAAAACTTTTGACTCTCTGGGGAGTAGTTTGGGGAATGGCAAGAAAATGCAAAACCCAAAAATAATATAAGGACATGGTGGATGGTATTAGGCACTTTGGGGGTGGTGAGATGCAGTAACTGTACATTAACACTAGATGTATCACCTTAACTACAGCAATAAATGTTTGTATGTATAAAGTAAAACATGTGTCTTCAATGGGAGAACCTGAGGAATGTGTCTAATTAGGTGGTGAGGGTGACAATTGTTAGTAATGACCAAGTGACCCCTTCACTCCCTGATGTGCTGTTGAGAATGACACGCCTAGCCTCGGCCACCACAACCAAACAGAGGGGCTTTCGGCTTTATGGCCACACGGGGGCGCCGCTGCTCTGCTCGCTCCTACTTGCATGGGCGGGGCTGTGGTCTGACTCAGGCTGTGACGCTAGCCTGGAGGAGGACACTCGGGACAAGGTGCCTTCAGAGCAGTCCTGGTGTCAGGCTCGGGAGCCGGGCGGAGAATTGCGGAAGGGAAACCTCTGGGACCTTGTGCTGTGTCTAGGTTCCATCATGGCCCCAGAACCTCGTGATGCCAAACCGAGAAACTACAAGGTAACTCCCTTCCACTCCCTGTTCTTTTTCTTCTTTTTTTTCTTGTCTTGTCTTGTCTTGTCTTTTTTGCTTTTTTGGGTCTCACCCAGCGATGCACAGGGATTACTCCTGGCTTTGCACTCAAGTTTTACTCCTGGCGGTGCTCGGGGCACAATATGGGATGCTGGCAATTGAACCCGGGTCGACCGCGTGCAAGGCAAATGCCCTACCCACTGTGCTATCACTCCAGCCAGCCCCCCTGTTCCTTTTCTTTTTTTTAATTTAATTTTTATTCATTCATTTATTTATTTTTTAAATTTTATTGAATCATCGTGAGATACAGTTACAAGCTTTCATATTTGAGTTACAATCATACAATGTTCAAACACCCATCCCTCCACCAGTGCACATTTCCGACCACCAGTCTCCCCAGTATACTCCCCCTTTCCCACCCTCCCCCTGCCTCCCTGGCAGACAATTTATTCCATACTCTCTCTCTACATTTAGGCATTATGATTTGCAATACAGATACAAGCCCAGTATTTCTTAATATAAATAACATTTTTTATGGAATTGGCTATATTTTTCAAAACTAAAAATGAGAGAGAGAAGTGATTTTGTTTTACAAACACTTTTATTTTTTATTTTATTTTATTTGCTGTTTGGGTCACACCTGGTGGTGCACACGGGTTACTCCTGGCTCTGCACTCAGGAGTTACTCCTGGCGGTGCTCAGGGAACCATATGGGATGCTGGGAATTGAACCCGGGTCGGCCGCGTGCAAGGCAAACGCCCTACCCTCTGTGCTATCTCTCCAGCCCCTACAAATATTTTTAGACTTTAAATTTTTGTGCTTGAGTTTCAGTTATACAATGATTGCGTACCCATCCCTCCACTAGTACCCACTCTCCACCTCCACTAATCCCAGAATCCCTCCCACCCACCCCCATCTCACCCTGCCTCTGTGGCAGGGCACTCTCCTTTTTTCTCTCTCTCCTTTTGGGTGCTGTGGTTTGCAAAAGAGGAACTGAGTGGCAATCATGCCCAATCGGTGGCACTGTGGTATGTGTGTGAGCCTTGTGTCTGACAGACGTGTCCGGAATAGACATGGGCCGCAGCCCTCGGGGACACCCCGGAGGTGGATGAGGGCCAGGGACGCCTGGAAGCCTCTTTTGTGGTAGCCTCGGAGAGGCTACATCGGGTGTGTCAAAGGAATCATCCTCCGCTCTATTACTTCTCTATTCTTCTTTCCTTGCGCTTGCGTCATTCTTTTTTGTAGGTTGGATCACGCTCGTCTTTTTTCTCTACCGAGACACCGTCTTTGGAACCATGGGACAATCTCCGTCGAATCCTCTCTCACTCACTCTCTCCCACTGGTCAGAGGTCCGCTCTCATGTTCAGAATCTTTTCTGATTGTTAAAAAGCCTAAATGGCAGACCTTTTGCTCAGCAGGATGGCCGACCTTCCAGGTTGGTTGGGCCCCCGAGGGATTGTTCCACTTGCCGCTTATCTTCCAGGTCAAGGGAGTCATCTACCAGCCTGCTCCCCGGGGGCACCCGGACCAGGAGCCTTAGGCAGGAGTCCCGGGCGGGAGAAGGGGCCCCCACTGACTCTGCTCCTCCTCTGCCCCTGAACCCCGAACTCTCTAATGCCACTCCCGGGCCAGCATTGCCCTTTCCCTACTTCCGATCTCTTCAGTTGGAAGAACTAAACCTTCCGGAGGTGAAATATCATGTGCACGCCCTTTGGGCATATTCGGGAGTCCCAGGGTGACTGGTGAGTGTGGTGCGCACCCGTGTGAAAGAGTGGACCGGTCCAAGCGAGTGCCGAAGTGTGATCTGTGCGTGTATCCATAGTGTGTGTATTTATTATCTTTCTCCTAATTCTGTTTATTAAGATTGTTTAATACGGGTCAGAATTGATCACTTCTCTGAGATCCACAGGAAAGCTCAGGATCTGGGCTTGATGATCAAGAAAGGTAAATTTGACACTTATTGTTCATCAGAATGGGCTTCCTTCAGGGTGGATTGGCCCCCATGAGGTTCCTTCTCTCCAAACCTTGTGGCTCAGATAAAGGAGGTAATCTGTGGAAGACCTGCTGTGAAGGTATGCTCCCTTGGAAATCTCTAGGGGGACTGGGGGAGGAATGTGATAACCTCTGTGTGAATGCGTGTGTGTATGAGCACCCTGATAGGTCCTCCCATCGGGCTTCAGAATGCTGAACCACTAAGGCTAAGTTCTCCCCTGGCCAGGCAAGCATCTGAATGGTTTCTGCAAAGAGGCACCCCTCCTTTGTCTGTTTTGCATCACCATCCACTATGGGAGGGACGGGAGGAAAGCCCACTAGTGAGAAGATTGGGAAACTAAGGAAGAGCAATTTCCAGGAAGAGAGGTCAATTGAAATGTTAATGAAGGCAGTTCAATTGTAAGGCAGAAAAAAAAAGGGTAAAGGGACAGAAGCAGCAAGCCAGCAAAAAGTGGGAAAAGTAGAAAGCTAAGAAAGGCAGAACTGTTTTTTTAAGGAGCAGAGTTTTTAAGACCACAGCACGAAGTTCGTCGGGCACACAGCTGTGGGTCTGTCCAATGCCAGGCCCGCCCAGGTGGACATGAGCCTCTGAATAAAGGCCAAAGTGATAGACCTGGGGAGAAGTTTTGCCAAGGATTCCTCCTTTTTCATAGATTATTGCTTGCAATTAGGAAAACATCTGAGGAGCTTCCAACTAGGTAGTTTTAGATAAGAAGATCTTGTTGACCTCTGTAAAACACCATGTGGCCTGAGTATAGTGGGGAAAGATAGCCAGTGAATGGCAGTTTGCATTACCAGATCATTTTGCAGTCAGATCTTTGCAGGTAACAAAAGAAATAGGAGAGTATCAAAGCAGAGGAGGCAGGAAAATGCAAGATCTTATGATTAACTGTTTGACATCAGAAACAAAGAAGCCTATCCCCATGTCTGATAAGATACTAGCTCCCTGCCTCAGAATTAGTCTTGGCCAAAATATGGTAACATCTTTGTCATAGTTTATTTTGCCGGCTTATATTAACAAAAGCGCTTTCTTGACCCATTTTTTACAAGCAGGATACTGGCTGGTCAGGCTGGGAAATAGGGAGCAGAGTTCCCAATCAGCCGATAAGGTTTCTTCGCCCTTCCTTTCTCAGTCCATCAGTTTCTCCCTGCCATTTTTTTGAAGAGTCAGATTGAAGGATCAACTACAGATGTGTGCACATGTACGTGTGGTGTTTTAGTCAGTTCATTGTCTTGTTTGTCTGTCTGTCTGTCTGTGTCTGTCTATCTGTCTGTCTATGTGGAACACTCGAGTGTTGGAACCAGGCTGAAATCAGAAGTAGAAATTTTAAAGAAGTTAGTGACATGCTGTTAGGGCGCGGATCGTGATCTCCCTTTAACGACAAAGAGACTCCAGAGACTGCAAACAGCAAGCAAGGTTTATTGTAATGAAGGAATCCATATTGGGGCATCAAATTTTTGTGTACTTTAGCTAACTTGCAACATTGCTTTCTGTAAAACTGCTTGGCTGCTTTGCACCTGGGGGAGAGGGGACTTGCAAAGTGAACAGGGCATAACTTCTTTCTACAAGGTAAAGGTAAGGTAAAGGCCCTCCCGTTGATCGTCGATTTGCTCGAGCGGGCCCAGTAACGTCTCCATTGGAGACTTTGTTGTTACTGTGTCTGGCATATCGAATACTCTCGGTAGCTTGCCGGGCTCTCCAAGAGGGGTGGAGGAATCGAACTCGGGTCGGCCATGTTGGCCGCTTGCAAGGCAAACGCCCTACCCGCTGTGCTATCGCTCCAGCCCTCTTTCAGGTGTATTTACTGTCCCTGAAATGTATTGTCTCAGTAAAGCACCCTGCAGATTTGGGTAAAGGCTAACTCAGGATGCTGGTGGTTGGGGGAAATTGCCCTTTCCTGGAATGTATTGTCTCACTAAAGCACCCTGCAGACTTGGGTAACACAAAAGGAGGATGGTCAAGGGAGATTACCTAAGGCTTAATGATTCCAGCTATAACCTTGCTTGTGCTGACAATGGATGTACGTAAATGCTGATCTTTGAATCTATAGGCTAAGGAGTGAGGTACTTTTAAATGGATTGGTTAAGAAAGTATATGTTGTTACAAATCTATTGGCTATGAAATGCGCGGGCTTTGCTGTAACGGCCAGTGAAGGCCTATATAAGATCCCCTTTGAAGAAGTTCGGGGCTCTCAGCCACTGCCCATTTTTGGGGTATGCTGCAGAGCCCCAGCATGCTGGTCTAAATAAACCCCGTTTTTACTCCTGCAGGAATTGTGTCTATCTGGTCTCTCCGCGCCTCCCAGGGCCAGGGAACTCCCGATCCCAACATTTGGAGGTCCCACCGAGATCACCGAGGACCCTGCCCCAGGGACGCAGGATTGAGCCGCGGGGTAAGTTAAGGCGCCTCTTTCTCTCTCTTTGTTTCTCCGGTACCGTTTTACTGTAGTTACCGATCGGTGACACAAGCACAGTGGTGTGCAAGCACAGTGACAGTGGTGTGCAGCACACTGTTGTGTGTGCGAGCCTTGTGTCTGACAGACGTGTCGGGAATAGACACGGGCCGCAGCCCTGGGGGACGCCCCGGAGGTGGATGAGGGCCAGGGACGCCTGGAGGCCTCTTTTGTGGTAGCCTCGGAGAGGCTACATCTGGTGTGTCAGGAATCATCGGCCGCTCTATTACTTCTCTATTCTTCTTTCCTCTCCAAAAGGCCTTGCGCTTGCGTCATTCTTTTTTTGTAGGTTGGATCACGCTCGTCCTTTTTCTCTACCGAGACACCGTCTTTGGAACCATGGGACAATCTCCGTCCACTCCTCTCACTCACTCTCTCCCACTGGTCAGAGGTCTGCTCTCGTGCTCAGAATCCTTTTCTGATTGTTAAAAAGCCTAAATGGCAGACCTTTTGCTCTGCAGGATGGCCCACGTTCCAGATTGGTTGGCCCCCCGAGGGATCGTTCCACTCGCCGCTTATCTTCCAGGTCAAGGGAGTCATCTA